TTGTGCCTGTAACGCGGTGGGTAATTGCAGTTCAGTGAATGCACCTGGAAGACGAGCGCCTCCCATCGTCCAATCAAAGTGGAGATCCTACGTCATACCTAAGTTGTGTGTATATATGCACGTGTGTAGATACATATGTACATATATATGGGAATGATTTGATGTCAGTATTTAAAGGTTGTGGTATTCTTACACAAAAACATAAGCAGCATATCTTTATTTTTTATTTTATTTATTATTATTATTATTGGACTATTTAGTCAGATTTTTATCTGTACAAACGACTATATGAGTTGCTGCCACCTAGTGACTGGAGGCTTGTTATCATTCAAGGATTACAGCAGTTGTACACCTATGTCCAGCGTGCCATATTCCATTGGAAGGTTTGAGCCCAAGCTATATTCATTGTTTATATATTTTTTTATTTTCCATCACATTAAAATGAATAAAGGTTGATTCCATGTACAAATGATTTGCTGTCGTAGTTACAAATAATTTAAAAATTAAGTTATATATTTTATATATGATATAGTCCTTGTTCGATTTGCAATTTAATTTAACCCTGTCACCACTGAAAAAAAAATACATTACAAAATATGTAATAAAATACCAAAAAAAAATCACTAGCAACATGTAATGTTTAAACAGTATATGCATGTTATCAAAACATCACTTGGGTAAATATTACCAATAGCATTTTTTTCTAATGCTAATGCTAATTGGGGTAAATCTAATTATATTTGTAATAAAAAAACAAAACAATATACTGAGGGCTAATAATATGTGCACACATTATTTTTTTACATTAAAATCATTTAAAATACAAAGAACATCTCAATGTTTTTTAATTTGCTGTTTTTTTTAAAACAGCACAAAATCACAATAAAATACCATCGAGTGGAAAAGTGGAGGTACGTTAGGTGAAAAAGGGGTAAAATAATATATTCCAGGTATAGGCCACATGACATGAGTGAACAGATGCACATCAAAATGTCCATCCATCCATCCATCCATCCATTTTCATCCGCTTATCCGTTTCCGGGTCGCGGGGGCAGCAGTCGCCACCCAAATCACATTGCACCATAAAATGTCGTTGTTTTATAAAATAATGTAATGTAATGTAATTAAACGTAAATCAGTAAAAAAAAAATCGTAATCAATATTCACATGCCGTCGTACGCGGAAACAAAAGAGTTTACCTCTATGGAAAAATAAAAGAGTCATTCAGTCTCCAGTGTGTTTTCAATAACACTCCGAGGTCCATGCTGATTCTGCAGCTTTAGCTGCAGCTCCTTAAACAGATGGTCCCGTTCCTCCACATCCTGCAGAATTTGCTATTAAGGCAAAAAAAAAAAAAAAAGAAATAAAAATAGAGACATTGTTCAGTCAGTCTCACAGATTGTCACGAATAACAAATGAAATAGTTATATATAGCACGGGTCCTCAAAACGAAGTGACCCCAGGGACTGACCGGTGTCGGTCCTATAGGTTTTTTGTGGCATTAGGCCTCATAAGTAGTAGTAGATCAAAATATAATATGAGTAAAACTGCAAAACAAAATTGTCACTAACTGGAATTTGGAATTTTTTGGACGCTAACTTAACAAAGTTGTGTGTTTGACAAAACTAACTGGAATTTGGAATTCTTTGGGCGCTAACTTAACAAAGTTGTGTGTTTGACAAATGCCTAGTTTTTTTTTTTTTTAAAGATAATCAATCAAGATAAGACATTTGAAAGGCATTTCACCCCAAATTCATACTAATTTCTGACAAAAGAATATTATCTTGGGACATTCTGACCTTTATTAGCTATTAGACACACACATAAGTCATCTGGTGAAGGCTAAGAATTCATTTTAAGTACTGTGTTTTTCGGACTATATGTCTCACTTTTTTTTCCATCCTTTGCTGGGTTTGCGGTTTATCTCTTGTATATAGAAATATATAATTTCATATGTTTGTTATTTTCATCAAGTTGCGAGTGCGTAACCAAGCTCCATTTTTCCACTTGACACCCTTTCTTTCTATCTCCCTTCACCGCCAGTACAGTGTCCCTCGCATGGTTATTTCACCCATTTTTATAACAATAATATAAAATAATTTCTTAATTATTATTATTTTATATTATCAGTATATTTGTTTATATCTATGTTTTTGAGGTTTGGATGAAGGGTTGATTTTAGTTTTATTAATTCATAGTATATTTCTAGGGGGCTGGAACGAATCAATTGGTTTTAGTTATTTTTAATGGGGAAAATGCAATCGAGATACGAGTCAATCGAGACACGAGTGCTGTTGTGGAACGGATTAAACGCTACCACTGAAAATGTACATGTTCGTTATTTTCACACTGACAGCCGCTAGAGGGCACTGTAGGCTTGTGTACCAGAATCTGTTACTCCTGTAAATCGCATTTTTTTTCATCCTATGGACTTTTAGGCTTGAAAATATGGTAAGCAAAAAAAGCCAATGTTTTGTTGGTGCTGCATAATTTTTTTTTTCCAAGTTTCTGATTCAAATAATAAATCTGTGCAGGCCAAAGATGCTTCATGTTAACGAGCCCCTTCGTACATATAGCTTATCTTCAACGTGATCTTCGTGAGCGAAGTTTACCTCTATGAGTTTATCTCTCTTTTCAAGTCTCTCTCTCAACAACCTCTCCTCTCGCTGCATCTCCTCTCTTCTGTTCTGCCACAACCTCTCACTCTCCTTCTTTTCCTTCTCCTTTTGCCTCAGCTGTTGACGAGTGTCTCTGAGTTGAGCCATCATCGAAGACACTTTCTCACTGTGATTCTCCTGTTGAGTCTGTTAACGAGAAGAAAGCACAAGAAGCAATCATTACAAAGTTTAGCATTTGGATTTCTTTAAGCTTTTACCAAATATTAACACAGTGGACCTCCATTTTTATTACTAAAAACTAGTGATGTGCGGATCGATCCTGAAATATCGATACTTCCGATTCCGGATCTTTATGCTCTGAAATCGATTCCGAAATCAAAATATCGATACTTTTGATACTTACGCATTCTGAGATGAGGTGTATCCTAAACAGAAACATGGTGAAAAGTATCCAAATTATTGAGATGTTGTCTAAGTGACGCTCGGTTGGTGGGACTACTTCTTCTTCCGCCTGGGTGTGTGCGTCATGCGTAAGCACAGGGGCTCTACTCCGTGCTCTCACTCAGTCACTTTTGATGGGAATTTCGGCTCTTTTTTTAGAGAACCGGTTCTTTTGGCTCGGTTCACCGAAAAAATACGACTCTTTCGGGTCCCAAATGGCTCCTCAGATTTTTTTATGTATTTTTTTTAATTTTTGTTTTACAGATAACATGTTTTCAGAGTTTGAAACATTGTTTTGACATATTTTATATGATTGTGTTCTCAAGTTTTTCTATTGTTGTGTTGACTGTATAGTAAATGAGGCAGCAACCTCAGTACACTCCAGAGTTTAAAATAAATAAATAAAAAACTCTGCCTTGGATTCTTAAAGAAGCTATGATTTGAAATACACTTTTTTTTTTTATTTAAAAGACAAATGATAAAAGATCGGTATCGATATCGGTATCGGCGATACCAGCCCGAATTTGACTCGGTATCGGATCGGAAAGGAAATTGGTGGTATCGAATATCACTACTAAAAACTGTTATCAAGTTATATCCAGTATACGTTTACATATTCTTTCTGCTTTGTATGCTGTTTAAAAACAGACAAACAGCTCCAATTCAATTCTTTCTTCCAGTATTTAATGAAATACAGTTTTGTTTTTTTTTTAAATTACCTAAAACTCTCTACAGTACTGTTTAGGTTCACTATGTTCACAATATTAGCATGTAGGGCAAAAATATCAAATAGGTTCAAAACTGAAATCCAATAATTAAATTATACATGGATGGATAGATGATTTTTTTTTTTATTGTGTTTTCAATGGTTCCAAGGTTCCAGCTATCTCACCTGCACCATGTCCTGGTATTCCTGCAGTGCTGTGGTCAGTTCAGTGACCTGCTGGCATAAGGCCACACCATCTGCCTGCCGTGCTCCTGACACGACTTCTTCTTCTGACGTACCTCTAACAGTCTGAGAGGTAAAAGCCTGAGGAAAAACGATGTTGAGAAATTAGAACTTTTCTCTGCAAATAAATGTATTACTTAAGAGCCTTTATAGCCTTTAAATCTGACCATTTGTTACCCGTTACGTTTGGTATCACGACGTTGATGTAAACTAGTGACAATACTTTTGTTTTAGAGTTTTTTGAGACTGTTCTCCGGCCTATGTCTCGAGCAGGTGCAGTGAGGTTTGTGGTTAAGGCCCTGAATCCCTTTAAATACAATAACCGTAAAATTAAATAACATATTAACCTTCAATCTTTTATAAAACAGGCAATTCAGCAAAACTATAACTAGTAAAAGAGAATTATGGACTTATGGACAATATCGGATTGAAAACGGATACATTGAAAACCGTTGATGCTCCATGATAGCAAACTTGCTTCATGCCTCCACAATTTATACGTAATTTTCGACCTCATTCCCGTAAGCTTAGTCTCTCTGCTTCAATGGATGTTGTTATTTGTTTTTATTCATCGGTATTAATTTTTTTCGTTATTGGTCGGCTGTAGCCGAACATAAAACCGATAGATAGATAGATTAGACAGATTAGATAGATAGATAGAT